GATTATTGCAAAGATATCAGAAAGCAGTGTCATGGTTGATTAAAATTACAAGACCTTTATAGATCCAATATCGTATTTACTATCACTAATTGATAATCATTTCATTTATGAGCGTAAAAAGATATGCATGACAGAAAGCAAAGTAGGCAATACTCAAAAATCGCTACTCTGGGTAAAATATTTGCAAAATTGAGTTTAACATTAAGATACATAACGTATCTGATTATTTTATATAATAATTTATACTTGTTTAGTTTATGCGTGAGGTCTTTATACTTACACTCAAAAAAATATTTCGCTGATGTAGTTAGATTTCTAGATATCGCAACAAGAATGTATCGCTATTTTTCGTATCTGTGAAAACATTGTTTGTCACATACAGAATTTATAGCAGTAATGTTCTAGCAATAGCTTCTGAAAAATTTAGGTACCATTGCTAAATGTTATTCATTGCATGATCTAACACGTGATTGATCTTATATAGATAGGCGCTTTAGAGAAACTTTCTTTTTAAAGTTCACAAACAATACAGATATATATTCTGTTTTTGTCATCTAAACTGATTAAGTAATTACATATGCAATATCACAACAGTTGCTAATCATTTATCTGTTTTAGTTAATTTTTTACACCTAGAAAATTTTAGCTATTATTGCAAGATCATTTTTTTGAATGTACTTGCAAATCCTCACTACAAAAATTTAAGAAGAATATTCAATATACTACATAATTCTAAACGCTTGTATATTATAACCAGTGGACTATATTTTTGAATACGAGATAATTCTCATGTCAAACTCCATCTAATAGGTATATGAAAGTTGATACACAAGCGCTGATTGTCATACACACTGCCGAATATAAAAGCTGCTCGACCGCGGTAGTTTTGTAATATAAATATATATCTATCTTGAGTTATGTCAATTTTCATATACTAGATGGAGTTTGACATACACAATTTGTCGTATTCAAAAATCCGATTTATTGATTATACTGCACGGAGACAGATCAACAATAATTGAAAGTGTTATGTAATACGGTTTTAAAACAATTTAGAGAAATTTTTAAACTGGGGACTCGTGCTCTCTATGACGAGTCCCACGCATAAATTTGAACAAACATAATTTGTACTTTAAAGCTGTTGTATACTAATGTAGGCTCTTTCTTTTAAATATTTATACTTGTTACTGTTTCAGCTGTGGAATAATATAATTTTTATCTCAAAATAAATATGTATTATCATACATAAGAAGGAAATTTGTACCGCGCACGCCACAACGGCTAGAGTTAGCGCCGTTGAGCGACACTATCCGACAAATAAAGTGGTTTTTCTAATTTTCTAAATTTTAATAATCGAGATCTTTAGAAGAGAGAGAGAGAGAGAGAGAGAGAGAGAGAGAGAGAGAGAGGACTTTAAAGAGAGAGATACCACTTTAAAACGTGGTTTATTATTTAAATTATAGTTTTCATCACTAAACTTTTGATACTAATTCGTATGGATGTTTTGTAGGACACTGCACTTTATCCAAGAGCGATACAAATCATATGGATAATTTCAGCAGTATTTTTTTTACTTGAATGGTAGTACCTGATGTACCTTATCCGTGGCCATCGTATTTACTGTTATTTTTTAAGTTGTGTTGCTTATTTTGCTGTATTAATTGACGTACGCGCCGACACTGAAGTTTCTTACAGTAATTTGTAAAATCCACATTTAAAAATAAAATTATTTTGATTCCGCCTAGCAACTAGTTCTACTTGGATATTAGAATATCTGTAGAGTTGGAGCATTTCCTATATAATTTCTTTATAATTGTCTTATTATGTAGTATTGAATGCGATGAGTTATACACGACTACGCTGACGATGAATTTTTTTCATTCATGATTAATATTTTCGCAATACACACCAACTGGGAGTCAAAGTTTATTTATTTTTTATTTGTTTTGCCGTTATTTGCGGAACTTTATTTATTCTGAAATTATAAAGCTTCAATTGATTTCAATGGTTATAATTTCCAAAAGTGTAATTGCCTTTTCTGATATAGGTGGTGGTTTTTATTTTTCGCGTTTTTACTTCTTATATTTTATTTTATAACGGTTATCTACATAGTGTTATTATCTTTTAATCTCAAACTATTTTTGTCATTATAATATAGTCAAATTTCTTCCGTTTGATTACATTAATCTATTAATGAATATCGCGATGCGCATGTTATTCGAAACATTGTAGTATGTTCAGCTCCACTCATTGTCAGTGTGTGTCAACTCTTGCATTATATATAATTTATATTGTTATATGTCATATATGTGTGTTATATCACACATATATGACATATAACAATATATGACGGAGCGGCTGACATTACGATATGAAGAGTTATATGTTATGACTTCAAGTAGCATGAGTTATGCTGTGATGGATATAGATTATGCTTTTGAAAATTTTTCGAGAATAGATTGAGAATATCTTATTTTTCAAACTTATATTTTTTATGAATTTATTATGCTTATATTTCTATTGTTAAAATCACTATAATAAATATGTTGCATTATTGATCAATTAATCTCGTAATGGCAACTGAAAATAATAATAAATAATAAATGAAATTTCACTGTGATAAACAGTTAAGATGATACCATTACAGTACAGTGATGTACAATAAACGCATACGTGTTCTTTTATTTTTATTATTCTCTTTACTGTCCTGTTATTTTCCCGAAAAACGCTTTTGTTAAAAAGAATTGCAGTTTTTTATAGAGATACCTGAAATCGCGCGCAATCATTCAACTCTTTGAGTACTGACAAAAGCAAAAGCGCCTTTAATGATGCACTTTGTTCTCTCTAGTTGCATTACATCCTTTGTGTCGGTCGCAGCGATCGGAGACTGCCGCGAGAATCACAAATCACAGATTACTTGAGTATTAAGTTTTACGGCGCGTGCAAAGAAAAACGGGCAAAACTGAATGGCCCTTTATGAGTACGGCGGTTTTGTTGCGTTGATGTGTAATTTTGCGTTAAGCACTTGCAATTTTTGTTTCATAGTTTCTCAGTTCAGAAAAAATTCCAACAAATTGTGCTACATGAATATTTCAATTCAACCGAGTTAATTAGTGCAGTATTCTTAAAGAGATATCGTTAAAATAACGTATACATAAATTAGCTCTGATGATTTGCTTCAAGCTCGTTTTGAAACAATTCATAATATATAAATTGTAAATTAATATTGATTTAAATTATTTATTCATATAAAATAGAGATATATAAATTTAAACTAATATTTCGCTACGCAATAGATAACAATGTGAGTTATGTATGCAAATAGTCTTTGTAGCGAGATATAAATTATTACTCCGCGTAAACGCTCTGCATTACAAAAATTTAATTCATTTCAATTAATTAATTCAAATTCTTATGCAAATTATTCATTGTCACTATACTTACGTAATGATAATGCATATTCATGCGAAATAAGTCATTCTCTTTTGCAGGAAAGAAACCGAATCATTCATGAGCTTTTGTCTACATACTTGAGCTGTGAAGGAAGATGTCGATCAATAAAGGGGAGCTTTTGTGGAATATTTCAGGTACGTCTGAAAATTTATCCATTCAGAATCGCAAATTCGACGAATTATATTCCGCATTCGTCGAGTTTGCCAATGTTGGCCAATGTCCCACCATGAAGGGAGAATTACTTTATGATCCAATTAATCACTCTATTAATCTTACCTAAGGGTGCCTAAGGGTCTTCCCTTAAATGAAAACATACTCAGGATTTTTTTAAATAGTTTAGTTATAATTCTAAAGAGCAAACACAAGTATGCGAGCGCAAATTGAAGGGCATAATTTAGATATTGCTCTCAGCGAACATATTCATGTCACATTTGCTTTGGCTTTATCTTGATTTTCTTGCAGTGTTGAAAAATATATTTGATTGTCAAAAATATTTCGAAAACAATTTCTTCTTAATTCACTCTCGTTTGACGTAAATTAGAATCGCAAAGAATCGCACGTTTGAATGCAAATTAATTGTGTTGTTCGGTAACGAAACAAACGAGCAACTAACAAGCGTGGTTCTGTCAATTCCGCCATTGCCGATTTCCAAAGATATAGATAGAGATATCCAACTAAGGCGCGTGATTAATAACGGCTTAAAGTCTTAAAGTTGTCCTTGTTTCTGAATAGTTTCCTCAGAACTATGAACAAAGCACTCCGTCACGAAATGTGAAGACGCGAATGTTCGAAAAAGGATAATCCTCAGTGCTATCCATTTTGTCAACACGACGTTACCGAAGATCACGTTTCCGGAGAGTAAAAGGTTCCGTCATCTGACTCGTAAACCGGGGATAGCCGTCCGATCTGCCGTCCGATAGATGTAATAGCGACTGCGTGCAAACCGTGTTCTTTTATTTGACTGTAATTCAATATCTTATTCGCGCCCGGCATGTCAGGATTTCCAAAAAAAAGTCGAAGAAAAAAAGTCTGAAAATATCCGCGCGAGCTTCTTGACAGAGCGCTTTCTGATGGAAATGAAACAGTCCGCCAGCGCGAAGCGTGTCTTTGCATCTCGGAATGACGAATCGCGATGATCAATACAGTTTGCGCGTATGTTACGTAGCTTGTGTATGCCGGTATTATGCGTAATATTAGATCAAACGCCGTTGTCACGTATCGAGTTCATATCACGTTCGCCCGGAATTCATGCAGAAATCGGGGATTGCGCCAGCGGCTACTAAAAATTACTATCGAACGCGCGATGCAGACGAACGAGACGGATACAGAAATTTCCAAGGCAGATCAATCGCAGGTTAGTTGTGCCGTTTGAATTTATCCGAACATGTGATGCATTTTGATCGTGCATTTATAATTATTTCGCCGATCCATTAGCGATCATTAAAAATACATAGATGTATCAGAGTCTGGAGGTATAATAAAACTGCATTTACGTGAACATCTGTTAGGCCATTGTTAACGGTGCTCATTGCGAAGAAAACGACAAAATGTCAGTAAAGCAAGAGGTAATTAACGAGCCCAATACATCGGGAATACTACTGAGTGAGTTAATTAATTTGTTTTCACATTGTCATATTTGTCGCACGGCACAGGTAGCACACAAGCGCACAAATCACCCGTTTCACGCTTTCAATCAATACCTTTGTTCATTAAATTGAAAAAAACGGCTAAATAATGTTTGTTTACACAGTTGTACCGTCTATCTAATTATTACTAATTATGTTTCTTTGGTATATAACTATTCACTAAAAATAATTAAACGAGCGAGGAGTCTTGAAATACACCCGTATTTCTTTTTCTTACACAATAATTGAACAATTCCGATGCATACGTATGCTTTGATTTTATTCAAAATATGTCGAGAAATAATTTTACGAAGGGATTGAAGTCCGAGTTACGTGTTAATTTTAATCGACACTCAATATGGCATTCATTGCATTGGGGATGGAACATTGCTATGGAGATGAAACTTTAATAGTATCATTAATGCTTCACACGCACAGAGCTTTATACTTTTGCTATATACTTTTTTTATACCTTTATGTTTTGTCAAACTTTTTGTGACGATGCACAGTTTCGACACACAGAAAGCACATACAGAGTTACGTTTTGCAAGAAAAATGAAGAGATAAAATTGCGAAAAATGTTAGCTTGAAAGATGAAACTTCGTCTAAAATTTCCGCATTCGTACTCGATATAAAACTTGGAAGGAGTTGCTTCGCGATTTATTTCACCGCACCATCTGCGGCTCGATAAAAACACGTTCGTCCGACCATGCAAGCGTAATTTCACTAACTTACAGTTCGGTCGTAGTGACGAATGAGATTACTTTCGTCTGATCTTCTTTTCAAAGGAATATATCCCGTCGCGTTAGTGATACAGATACTTGCATGCGCGAATCATGTTTTAATCACGTATTTATTGCTGCAGCTGCCGTGCGAGTGGCGGACTAGTTATCGATTTGCCAGTTGCGGGTATAGTTTATTTACAAAAGCAAGCGGTGAAACGCGATTGCTCGTATCGTGTATTATATTTAATTGTCGATATTTGTAATATATCATTTATATATGAAGACGCAATATACTGTGAAATTGTTGATTAACATCGGTGATTAAGATGAATTAACATCGGTGATTTTTCACGGAATCGGACTACCACAGATCAATATAACGAATGCAATTGACGCAACAGATGACACATTTTGAGCTAAAACGTCTACTGTTTGCAAAACGGCAACAGATTCCGCACGGCGGATCATCCCGTCAGTATCGGGGGAATTGCCGAAATTATCTCGCACGATGTCAAGAACTGAGGCCGTTAGGCAAGACGTCCGAAGGCTGAAGAGTGTCACGTTGGGCAGAATGGGGAAGATGTTTAAGACACGTACGCCCATCGCGGGTAGATCCTCTACAGGTTTGGACACAGTAAGTGATTTGGATCCTCCGGGCGTCATGTTTCACAAATGTAAGGGGCTTTTGGGGGCGCACGACCCCCGAGCTTCGGTAATATTCGTGATATATAAAGGAAGTTTGAATCCTAAGAGTGTCAGAATAGTGAGAACAAATCGTTATGCACATATCGCATCTGACCTTGGACGCATATCGCCATTGTACGTTTTATATTTTGTATCAGATTATTTCGAAAATCTTGAAAATTAATACACAATGCGCGAAATAATTGTTAATATAATTTCCTTTTTCCTTTATAATTTTTAATTGAATTTAATTTGATTAAATAATCTAGGTATTAAACATTTAATGGGTTTTTAATTAAAGAATGTTGTAACTAAACAATTCGTATCGACAATCAATTAAAAATATCGCATCTATATTGTCCTAGCAAAAATATTTTTCTCTGAATTCGACGTGTTACATGCTATAAAAGATTAAAGATCTAGCTATGTATATCTATGAATCTATCGTAAGGATTAGCAACGGCAAATGTAAACACGGTTCGTGTGCGTGTAATGTGCCACTGAATAATGCAAGACTTTTGAAACGATCTGATATACCTCCAAATTCATTGGTACAATAGGCGCGTAATTAATCGAAGCATATGTCAATATAATAATCGTTGTGGATATTGAAATCGGAAAATAATATTAATTAGAGCGTACCAGTCACTTGTTCGATTAAGTACACTTAATACAATTAATTAACTCCGTATAGGGGCGCATAATCTCACGTAGCACGTTAACCTTTAATAAAAGGCACAGAAGTTTGAGCAAACTTATATATTTGTTACCTTTGGCTCTTCCATTCAGAATGTGACAAGCGTCAATAATAGTGACGAGACAGCATCGAAAAAAGAAAAGGCAAACTCTTTGGGAAGGATGCTTAAACTCATCGACAAAGACGGTTCGCCTAAGAAACTTTTTGTTCGTCCCCGTTCAGGATCACTGAGTCGTATACTACGTAGGCATCCTCATAATGAGGACAAAGGAATTATCGATAAACCCGCGGAGGACACGACGCGTGGAATTCTCTCTAGAATGCTCAGCCAACTGAGAGGAAAGTAAAGATTTAAAGAAACTTGTCACAAGCGTCTTAGCAGGCGTGTCTTGTTGCCGGGACAGCGCGACGTTACCTATATTCTTAGAGTGCAGATAATTTTCTTTGAAGAGTTCAGTCTTCTATATCATGCCGGAAACATGATTGCATTTATTAATTCCTTTGTGTTATACATCTTTTGATATTGCAAAGATCAGATTTCATATAAACGATTTAATAAAATATTTCGTGCATCGCACCTTTCGTGCTTACACCTTAAATCTAACGACAATTCCACGTGAAATTTAATGAAATGAAAGTTGAATAATATTTGTTAATTATAGGTTGTCCCGTGAGCGGAACCACCGCTAAATCTGATAAGCGCAAACTCAGTTCTTCGTTATCATCAGAAATGTCATTAGACTCAAAGACGACTAATATTATGTAGATGGAATTACCTGCGTCTTGAAATTCAGCCGAGATCACGTCTAACCTGAAATACCAGATTGACACTTAACTTTATTATTTATTATAATTATAAATTTTTTGATTTTTTTGAAAAAAGTAAGTCAAAATTGTGCACTAAATAAATGAAAATTATATACTTAAATAAATTTTAAAAATTATATAATTTTCTAATGTAATTTTTACGCGTTATTTGATTTTTAATGTTGTTTTTCCATTTACTCATTGGATTTGATATCGATTATTGATGGTAAAGGTTGAAGAATAAAACGCTAAAGGTTACTGGAAGAGTCACGTTTATTATGCAAGCGTGTTCTTTTTCTTCTGTATATTTGTATTATAATATGATGTTGCGGGACAACCCGTGCCCCTTCATGTTTCGCATGTTGTACAAATCTTTATGTATATATACTAATATGTATTACAATATTACGTGACAGAAATAATTGAACGAGTTTGCAAATCGTATCACCACGAGGAATAGATATGAGATTCTTGATTCGTTTTTGCGCATCGGACTGTCCTCGCAGCCGGTATAAAATATATATTTACAAAAGGAATTCGATCTATCAAGCGGAATATGCGCTTTTGTAAATATTGACACTTTGTGAAAAATTACGGCAAAACTTCGGAAATAGCGACTACTATCACTTTTACTTCTTTAAATATTCGTGTATCAACAAATTGTCATGACGATACAATTGTGTGATTTTGTCATAAATTCTTGAATGATGCACATGGCTTATTTTTGTTCATGCCATTTCAAATATTTTCAAATTTTTTAATTTACTAAAATAAAATATTTAAATTTCTGCTTTAATTTTTAATCTAAAAATTAAAAAAAAATTTTAACTTTACGTGTGCATTAAAAAAAAAATGTTTTAAGCACTTTGGCACTATTGAAAATCGGCATAAATACGAACAATTCAAGTCATTTAAGGATGATGTAAATTTATATGTAAGAGATAAATATTTTATTTGAAAAATGTCTCGCGATCGATACACCTCGAATAAATTTTTGCACTATTTTGCCGATGGTTTTTCGCAGAGAATCGCTTCCGTTCGTAAATGAATTCGATATAAAACCTTAATATCAAATTATATACAGTATCGCACTACAGACGCACGTTTCGACACGCAATACATCAACACCTCGTTCCGCAATTTCTCGATTTCGATGTCAATTGTTGATTCAACAATCTTGGCACATATTAACGCAAGCGGTAGCGATAAAAACGATTAGTCACTATTACAACATTCGTTTTTGGAAGATCTACCGCATTTGTGTGCCTGACGGGTCTTTTGTTTCTCGTCCTTGATCGACGATCATAATTTATCACAGAATAAAGTAATGCAAAATAGTCCAAGTGCTAAGCTATTTGTAAATTTGACGGATTAGAATTTAAATACCTGTTATTTCCGTCCTCAACGCGATTTTATCTCTAAATTAAAAACTAGAGAATCTTAACTGCAAAATCTTAACTATGAAAGAACAATTGTAATTGCACAAAATGTCGATACTTTGAAAGTTGTTGCAAGTGTAGAGTTTTCAGTGTATCTAAATGTGAGATATAGCGTTTATAGTTCACAGTTAGCAATCTGCTTCCATTTTTAGAAAGAAACATAAATGCATTCTTAAATTACGCAATTAATGCTCGGATATATACTACAATAAAAAATTTTTATCTTTTTAATCAAATGGATAACAATTTTCAACATTAGTAGTCGTGCAAATAATGGTCTTAGGTTAATCATACAATTAAAAAAATTAATTGATAACGATAACAAAATAGAAAATATTTGAGCTCGCATTAATAAATCTAATAAATAATGTTCCATTTAACCAGACATCGCAAGTGCGCTGTTACAGCGCAAAGGAAATATACAAGATATTTAAATTGTTTATGATACTTCACATATTCGATAACGTCAACGTTTATGTGTTAGGGTTAGATAGAATACAACCTTACATCCGGTCTTTAAAATAAACATATAAAAATGGAAAGCTGCAACAAATCAGTAAATATGTACTATGCGAAACACTGCTTCGATAATATCGCATACCTCTGCTGCCGAAACATAAAAATACTGTAGAAAAATTTTCTAAAAAGTTCTTGAGTATTAAAAAAAATCATTGATCGTATCAAATTGTTCTAATAACGGCGGTTAAGTGCTTGCTGAAGCTTTATGTGCAAGCAATATTACGTGCAACAGTGATCGAAGCTACAAATAGCGGATTCACTAGAAATTCGAGATCTCTTTTTTCTGCGTGCCTTTTTCTAATATATCTTCCGTATTTTTTACGAATAAATTGACACTGATAGCATATTTTAGCAGCATATCAACAGCATTATAATTACTATTGACGTGAGTACGTACGTGTATAGTACAATTACATAAGATTATCATACGAAATTTTGATGGGTTAAGCAGAATTTTTATTAATTCGCCCTTTAAAAATACTAATGGTTCCGCTCTCGAATAAATTTCATTTAAAATATGTACCTTATCTCACATGCTGATCCCCATGCTTATTTATGTAATTATTAATTACATCCGCGAAGTTATTCGTGTTCTCAAATTAGATAGATTAATAAAAATCCCGGATATAGGACGCTTACTGTAAAATGTAATGCATTTTTAATAGTCCCTGTTATTGTTTATATTGATCTGTGGTTCACAATGTGACCGATATAAAAATGCTCATCCAAAAATATAACATTGATGAACACTGACTTTTTAAAATTTATTTATGTTCTTTTTTTTAAGAATCTAGTGAAGAAAATGTAATTCCGATCGTGAAAAAAATTTACCTATGATATGCAATCAATTAAATTTTGTTAAATGTTGGTCAAGAGTACAAAATTAAGTACACCTCGTCGCGAAGACGACATTAAATACTGGAAATGATGATTCGATCTTTTAGCGATTTGTCCTGCGAAAATAATCACCGTAGAAAATCAATTTTAAATTGTAAAGATAAGAAATATCTATCTCATCTAGAAGTGAGAATTATTGCTCATGTAGGTGTGATTATCTGTATTAATTACAATAAAAATTGTTGTTGCTCTACTTCTGAAATTCTATAACTCTTCAGCGGCGATCATGATTCGCGATGATGAAACAGGACAACAATCGCTCGATCGATTATCGATCAGCTACATACACGCGCACACACACTTATACGCATACGCACATATATACACACATACTGCGATTCCTTCCAAAAATGATATGGCTTCTACGGAAATGCGAGTTTCTTGTTCCCACTGATATTGTTTCGCCCATCTCAGAAGTAAGGATCGATTAAAAGCTCTGCACATCCACACCCGCTCGTCCTTCTGATTTTCTTCCTAGGTAATTCGTTTTTACATTTAACGTTATTACTTATTAAATCGTCAACTAGTATGGCTCTTGGACGGACGATATTTGCCATTCCGAGCAATAACTCAACCAGTGTCGAGCGTTTTACACCTCGCTTTTGCAACGAATCGCTTCTTAAGTTTCGTGCGATAGGACTACATTAATTGTGAAAGAAGATAATAATAATATAACATAGTAGGATAATCATTTCCGTTTGTTCGTACGAACATGGAATCATGAACAAAGTGTTGTTGGTGGTAATCTCAGAAAAATATTCGCATCGAGAGGAATCAAGACGCCAGTTCGTAATATCCGCGCCACGTTTCGGTGGCTCTTGGTTATTTTTTACACATTGCGATCTAACGAAGACGTACGATAGATTCATTGCGGATGCGATGTGGTTCGAGGCCTTATCGTGACACAACCAGTGGAATATGCATCTTTGCACTCATTAATAGACGACTTACATTTATCAACATCGCGCGTCTTATCAGCTTCCTGTTACTTATGTATACGCATGATGAGTTATGTTAGTAAAGACGTAATCTCCGATCGTCGCACAACATAAAAAAACATCGCGCACGCATTTGATTCGTAATCCCACACTTGGCAGCATATTCGATTTGTCCGTTCACATCCTCTTCTGCTATCGACATTCCTTTTTACACTCTCTTGATAGAATTATCTTAATCGTGATACACTATTCGACGTGTATCACGGATTGAACACGCTCCTCTTCGATATGTAAGTGATAGAAGAATAAAAACATGTGCTCGTTGTGTCTAATATCAAATATTATTCGAAAACATGTTCTTTCGTTCTATCGTTTTCGGTTTCGCGCACCATTTAACTTATTTCTAAATGATCATTGTTGCATTGCTCTCTTTCATTTTCATGTCCATTCAAATTGTCATTTTTTTGACTATACTTTTTCCAAGGAAACTTGAAGAATCCTGGTGAGAATTCAAGCACCTTTGGAAAACGAGATCCACTTTTGTCTCCACCAGTCATTATTCCTAACCAGTAGTTGAACCGTCACATTCCTGATTCGGCTATGCCTTCGTCATCTGCAAAATATTGAATTAAATTAGAAAAAAATTTGTTACGATTATGCTGCTTGTATTGCACATTGCGATCATGCTGATGCAAGCTACATCGCAATTTTCGGAATTGCGAATGGTCCGACATTATTGTAGAAGCCGTGCCTATTTTTATCTTGAACGAGTCTAAATTAAAAAAAAAAACATTTGCGAATATTTTATATTCAACATAATATTAATTAAAAATAATATAATTGTAAATAATTATGTGTAAACTTGAATTCGGTGAAAAAATATTTATATTGTGTTAATAAAATTGAAAATTAGAAAAATATTTATTTTAAACTCAATTTTTCGGTAATCAATTAGTAATCTTGACCATTGCTGTGTTATTCCATTAAAGCTTGTATAGAAAATTATGATAATTAATTGTAAATGCAGGCAAGCATTATCACTGCTGACAAAATGTTATCAGTGTTTAATAAAACCACATAAATTGTTAGTTTGCTCTTACATGCAGCATACATGGTTAATACACAGATTTGACATGTAATTTCTATGATATATCGAGGCTCATGCAGGAAAGAAGAAAAGCGACGAACGAAATTACCGTCGATGCAGGAGTCGCTGTTCGAAGGTCACCTCTCCTTCTCATCCTCGGCAGGACTCTTAGTGTTTTCGACTGAGCTTCGATTCTTGCCTAAATACAAAGTTCGCAAAAGATTGCAGAAAGGGGGTGTGTGAGTTACTAGGCGTAGGAAGTGAGATAACATTTTACAAAGAGGGGTAACCGTCGTTTTCAGTCGCAAAGGTAGAATAACCACTATCCACCATCCGTCACCATCGCAAGAATAATTAATTAATTCGCTCATGATACTTTTTTTACGCTTTGTTAATTTTTTATTTAAAAAGATATTCCCTGTAAAATATGTAACCTGTTCTCGTGCGAGGGAGAACAGATTTTGCATAAGAAGATGAGTAACAAATTACAGATATACCGTTTAAATCCCTTCCGATACATGCACTACCACCGATTCTTTTTAACAAGTTTTCATCAACTCTTCAATAAGTGATTTCAGTTACCCATCATGAAGCATTCTCTAAGTCGTCACCGACTACCCAACTTGTCCCGTGATCGTTCCAATTAATTCGTGTTTTATGGAGATAATAGAATTTCGGTACGCACCTTCGAATCCTTGATTGTCATGAATCTCTCGTGGCGGCCCGGTGGTGTCCTGTCCCTCGAGGACGGCAAGAAGACATTGGTGGATACAAATGTACTGCTGCTCCGTCTGGACCATCCAGACTCGCTCCTTCCTCATCGCCCAGACGATCCCGAAGATGTCGACGTATTTCGACACGAGAATCTGCTGTAATATTCTGTCGAGCGTGATGAAGGTGCCGCTACGGCCCACGCCGGCGCTACAATGAACGACTATGGGCCTCTGATCGGGCCTGACTCGTTCTCTGAACGCTCGCACGAACCTCGCCAGAGTCTGAGGCGGACTAGGAACGCCGAAATCCGGCCAGGTAGTGAAGTGGAAATGCTGTATCACTCTCTTTACATCACCCTGTGTAGCATAGCAATTTTTAATTTTAAGAGAGATCGAAAGATCATTGGCGTTTTAATAAATCGCATATTCAATGTAGCCACTCACTCTGCACAGCATGAATTCTGTGATACTCCAATCCGGATAATGCGTCTCGTTGAGTATCGTGACGCAAATGTCTCCGTAGTAGACTGGTAACGTGTCCATCGGCCAGTAATGATCGCATTTTTCTCTGCCTTTTTCGATGCATCTCGTTAGCATGACGATAGCCCTGCTATTACTCTCCCATACCATTCGCCAGAAATCATCGCGAGTCGAATGCAACGGTCCTTGAGTCACGATAAACTCTCGTGGCGAATTGTGACCCTGTGTTACATTATAAATTATTTTAGAAATTACAGTAAGAGATATATATAATATAATATATATAATATTTTTATTATTGAAATTAATTTGGCTGTTTAAATTTAATTAATTTTAAATATTTATTGAAGATCTTTGAGTGATCTTTTACATACCGGAACATAATTAGCGTTGATGTAGTCAGAACCCTCTTCATCATCGACAGGTTGAAGCTTGAACCTACTATGATCGTATGGAAGAATATTTGTGAAACGATTCTTCGGTCTGTTACAAGGCAAATCCGCCGCAGTGCACGGTTGGTCTCTTCCAACGTGTTTCAATTCTTCAAACTCTTCCGAAAACCGAAAGTCGGAATCCGCCGACATCGTGCGATAATGCTCGGCAAAATCTTCGACTTTGATAGGCCGGCTAAATAAAATAATAAATATTATATTATTTTAAGCAATAAATTATTTTAAACTAAAAATTTTTGTTGGAAAGAAAACTGCGAAATTGTTTTTTGCCCAAAGTTTTCCATTTTTAAATTAATTTTATATAGAAAAATGTTAAAAATATATACGTTGAAGATTTCAAAAAGAGAAAAAATTTTCAAAGATGATATGAAAATAATTATCTTTATTAATTATAAATGGACAAAAATAAACGACTTTTCGCAAATTAAATTTTAGAAGTACAATAACATGATCTTTTTAATTAATTTCAAAAGAATTTTACTTGAATAATATGAAGCATAATTAATATAATATTTAAAGTTAAACATTTTTAAAATAGGATGACGTTTAAGCAAATTTTTACTAAAAAAAGCAAATATCGATTTTAAATTAATTACGAAATGCATGAGAATAAAAAGTTTATGATTTTTCAACACTGCCTAAATTAGATGTATCACAATTATCGCGCATTTGTTATTATAATCCCGATTAGGATATATGGGTGAAGTATTATAATTTCTTGGCACCTGGTCTCAATGACGCTGTCCGGCAATGACAGATTGTCGGTTGCCCTGGTTTCTGTTGTCTTGCGACCCTGACTTCTCCTCCTTCGCATAAATAGTCCGATACCCAATAGGAACAGCAACAACGCTATGGCAACGGTGACACCGACTATGATGGCCGTGTTGTCCTTATCTGTTTGACACGCACAGCGAATTTTGAGCGTTACAATTATGCTGTGTTACAATGAGTCGGACGGTCGTCAAGAATAATCGCGCGTGAATGATACACATCTATTTATAAAAAAAAAAAATCACACACATCGCATTTGCAAGACTGTAAACTTTTATTCCGAGATCTTACCTGCCAGCAGCAATCCTTGGGCAGACATGTACACGAAATAACGAGGCATGAATTTAGCGAGGCTTTCACTACATGCGCAGTGTGCCTCTAAAACTTTACAAACCCTTTATCGCATCCGATGCATCGATATCGTGTAATTTCTACTGTTACTATTTTTTAAATGCACATTTGTACATCTTTACGAATATTACTATTTCAATTCTCATCGAATGCGTTAATGGGCGCGCGGTTTCTCTCACGTCTTCAGACTTTCCACGCGATCGCTCTCACCTGTTTGAATGGGGAAGCTGTAGCTAGTGTCCGTGAATTTGTCTGGTGCGGTGAACGCACGCACCTTCACTCGATACGTGGATCCTGATTTTAATGGTCCGTTACAATATCCGATTTTGTTATCACAGTTCTCGGAGCCGATTGTAAAGTCCTCCACAGACCCGTTTTTGAAAGGGTAATACGGTTCCATTACCTAAGATTTTATTGAAAATTACATGTCTTTATTCTGACTCGACGTTATAATAATGTGTGCAAATTTATTAAACAAATTTATCTTAGGCCTATAATTTAAAGAAAATAATATTTTTAATTATAGAAGATATGTATGTATTATTATCTCATAAGCACCAATGTGAATATTTTCTTGGTTTCCGAAATTAAATCGTTCAAAATATCCATCGTCGAATCTTTTAAACTTGCACTTTTTAACTAAGACGCGATTTAACTAAGACGCGAAGAACAATTTCCTGTATCACACATTCCTCGGCGAACTTTGATCTAGTGCGCAGTTTCATTAAAGGAACATTAATATTAATACTGGTATTATTCAAAGTATCAGTCGCATAAAATTGCAAATGATCACAATAACATTCGTTGAGCAACTAAACTGTTAATATTTGCAATAGAATTGCCATTTAATATAATCGTATTTTTGTAACGTTTTTATAATATCATATATTATTTTTAAGATAAATTTTGTAACACAAAGTCTACTAATTTATCATGAAAAATGTCAAATTGTAATTTGACATACTTTTAAGAATTTGTAAATTTAAAATTTAATTAAAATTGGTTTTATTAGACACATTGTTTCGCGGTTTAATTTTGCAAAATGTCCATATTGTGGCAACTACATCTTCACTTTTGCGGTTTCAGATCGCAACTAGATTACGCGTATCCTTCAATCCACGTATAATGTTGTCATCGTAGCTTGCGGGCGTTTATGCGTGATTGCGGATCTAACGCATACGTTTTACGTCAATCGTCCGTGATCTTGCAAGTCAACGAGCTTCGCGGTATAATCAGTTGTATTAATTATTTTAAACGATCTGTTTATTACCTATCTTTTTAGCATATTCATTGCATTGACTCGAAATTAACACTGCTGATTATTGTAAGAAGAAAACTTTATGCACATTTGTTTAACTCTTACTGAAATTTAATTAAATCGATTTTATAATAATCAGTTTACATAACATATATTTTACAATTTGTCATACGATCGAATTATTTCAAGCATAATGCAAAGCTTGACATGATATTTGAATGTATTACGAAATATTTCTTTAAGTTTGCATATACTTTATGGTTGTAAATTATAGTTTCCATTTTAAGAATTGTACAATAAAAAAAGAAATAAACTTTACCTGATAGGGTGGCCAAATGCTGTAAGCTTGAACGTCCCTCCAGCTAGGCATTTCCAGTCCAGAAGCATTTTTGCTGTCATCCTCGGCGACGATGATCGTATACGACGTGACCGCGCCATTCTGCTCGCTGAAATAGTTCTTCCGGAATCTGATTTGTATTGTCGTGCTGCTTCTGCAGACTTCGGTCGGCACCACTTGCGTGGACGGCTTCGGCGGTGCCAATATCGGCATCTTCTGCTTCCATATCGCTTCGGGACCGTAGCCGATCTTTGTCTCCGCTTGAATTCGGAAGACGTAGCTCTTGCCCGGTATGAGAGATTTGATGACACCGCGTAACTCATTCGGTTTGAAGTCTTGCATCTGAGTGTGAGTCGAGCCCTAGAATCACGAAAAAATATCGATCTGATTCCAAATACGCTTCACGATTTATTTTCCAAAGAAATGTGAAATATAGCCTGAACTTCTGCGATCGTTGACGTCTCGTGTATTTTTTTTACATTGTATGAAAAGATGAATTTTTCTAAAGTGTTTCCATAAAGATATATTTTACCTCTAAACCGTAAGTGATGCTGAATTTTCTGATAATGCCATTTTGTTCCTGACTAGGCAGCGACCACATGAACGTGATGTCACCCGGTTGAATATCGACAGGATGAAACTTGTCCACTTTTCCGGGATACGATTCGCTGGTGGTGAAGCTGGCGCTGAGCGGATTTGAGACTCTCAGGTAAGAAGATTCTGTACCCGAACGTACAACCAATGTGAACGTATAATTTCTATGCGGCTTTAGATCATAAATGGTGATCACGTTGACCGAGGTAATATTTTGGATGTAGTTCCCTTCCGTATTTATGTACTGCACTTCAAAAGTGTCATACTCTCCTTGCGGCACGTCCCAGGTCAAGGTGATTCTCGTATCATTTACGTTGATCGCGTGGATCGCAGTGATCGGTTCAGGATCTAAAAATCATATTTATCTTCGGGCTAATAAAGACAAATTATATGAAAAAATGCCTAATCTTTCTTTTACGAAAAATTTTGGTTCGCGCGAATAAAAATAATATCAATATAACATACATAAAAATTAAATAAATATTAGCTGCCATAAGAAACTTGATATAAAAGATGAAATATATATTGCGATGATATTATTATTAACAAGATATAAATTCTTCGCGCAGATTACCGTGCATTGGATTCTATTGCCTCGCCCGATAATTTTTTATTGCGATTTTTATTTAATTCCTTCACTGCAATCTTTTTCCAAAATTACTATCTGTCTATGCACATGTATGCACAGATTAATCATAATGTTATAGAAAATAATATTCAATTAATATCTCAAGAATAATAACACCACGCTACTAACATAAATGGATTATCTATAAATCGGTGCAGTCTTTAAGCACGTTATATTAAATATAAAAATATGATATAAACTAAAAATTAAATTTTTCAAAAATTTAAACAGATATTAGCGTTCACTCGTATATCTAAAATCGATCAATTAGCATCTATGTAAGAAGCATTGTAATAATTCACGCTGTATTGCGTGGATACTCACAGAGTCGGTCTTGCCGCAGGAGAGGTCTGCTCTCTACATTATCGCTTACTGTCCAAACAGTAACATTGTACAATTTGCCTGGTGTTAATCCAACAAATGTAACCTTGGTGTCAGAGTCGTCTATCATGCGCTCCTTCGTGGTGTTGTGCTCATCGCTAATCCTGAACCGGTAGAGATTGAATCGCGAAGATTGAATCGGCGTCGGCGTGTACCTCAACGTCAATGATCCCGATTGATCACGGTCGACTACTACGACGACCTCAGACTGGATCAGCGGCACTAGATTTTAAAGTTTTATTTTTTGTTTACCCAGTTGCGAATCGATCTATATACCATGAATTTAATCGCTCTTTACCCCCGTCAGCCTTCGAACGAAATCGCCAAGCCGGTCTAAATTCTGAGAGATAAATATGACGTAACAAAAAGCGCACACGATACGAACAGAATTAGTATTTAGCAAGAAAAACTGAGATGTCGCGTGTATCTGTTAGCATTCGTGCTCAGGCGAAATTTCGTTAATAGGCCATAACAGTATTTACGCTAACAAGATTTCACTCGTCATCGATGACGTCGATGACGAGAAGATCGATGCATACTCACTCGTTCTTGTTGTTAAATTGCTGATGTCACTGACGAGATCGTAGGAGATCGTGTAGACGACGAAGAAGTACTGCATTCCAGGCATCAAGTCGCTCACTAAGATCTTCTCGGTTTGCACAGAATTCTCCTCGAAACCGATGTCGGAGACATCGTTGCCTTCGCTGACATTCTTCATCCTGATGTCTGCTGGATTATCCACAGGCCACCATCGTATAACATAGGTTTCGATACGACCTTCAGGCCGCGGCCATTCGAGGGTCACATTGGTAGAGTCGATGATCGGTGTGATATTCAAAACCGGATTAGGTTCTAAAATGATAATAAAGTGTAACATAAGTTTTCAATAACTTCACAATAATTTTTTTGCGGTGGCGCTTGTAAGTTAATTATTGAAATAATTGAAACACACATACATTAATTATTATTGGAGTATCACGCGATAAATTTATAAAAATTTACTTACTGACTGTGTGATTCACGTGCAACGGGTACAAACTTTCGACGCCGTAACTGACGGTATTCACTTGTATAGTATATCTATCGCCGGGTGTCATGTCCGCCACTTCCGCTTCCGTGTCGCGAACGCTGGGTAGTTTAACCCACCTGGGATCATCCTCTGTACGATATCTGATGGAATATTCGGTAAATATTGAGTCTGTCGGAGCTTCCCAGTGCACGACGACGGTGTTGCTCGTGACTTTTTCGATACTGAGATTCTTTGGCGGATGCGGCACTGAAGAGCAATTCGAGGGATCATTAATGAATAAAACAGAACACGATGAGGAATGATGATCTATGAATCCGAAGAAATAAACGATTGTTACTTACAGACGGCTTGCAGATTGTCATGCGGCTCGCTGCGGAGTCCATGACTAATGGCAAAGACCTTGACTTCGTACGCCGCGCCAGGATAAAGATCTTCCAAGACAATATGCGACTCCGTAGTCAGAGTGGTCGCACTTTCTCCGGTATCATTTCTGTTGTGGGTGACTTCGAACTTTTCTTGTTTAGAATTAACGTCGCTCTTCCAGGAGATATTTAGACCTTTCTCAATAGGCTTCAGATCTTCGATTATAGGACTGGCAGGACGCGTCGCTTGATACAGGACGGTCTCGTTTGACTCGATCTTATTGCTAATCGCCTGAACGATTATGGAATAATTTCTACCCGGCAGCAGAGCTTCCAGGGTGACCTATCGATTTAACAATTGTGTCAGAGAAATGTATAGAACATACGAGAAAAACTGCAATCTAAAACGTTCGGCGCTGCTCGTAAAATCCTTTTTTTACTCAATAAAAAATGTTCCGTAAAATGCCTCACCCTGGTTTTATCGGTTGCCAAAGTGTTGCTGTCGCCACCAATCGTCGTTTCCACTTCATGGTACTGTAACTTGTAACTGTCCTGCGTACTGGAATTCTCCGGATTCCAGGAAATTTCGACCATGCCGGTTTTTTCATCGATCACCGCTCTGAGATCCTGAACAGGTAGCGGCTCTGCAAATACGTCGGCAGATTAAAAAGCGACATAGTTACAGATAATCACGACATTGCTGAATTCAAAGCAAAAGCAGTAGCAAATGGAGAAGCGGTACAAGCGTGAGGCGTACTCAGAGTGACATCCCCGCTGGCCGGCCAGCTGGTGACCTTGCCAGAAACCGTCTTTACGACCACTTGATATGTCTTGCCAGGCTCCAAGTCCTTGAACTCCCATCTGCTCTCATCGTCTCGGTTTCGCGTGACCGGCGCGAGCCTCCGATTACTACCGAGCGATATCTGATACTTATCGAATTCGGACGTTCCGTTCGGAGGGTTCCAAAACACGCGGAAGGAAGTCGACGTGATGGAGGATTTGTCGAAAGTCACATTGAGAGGACGCAGCGGTACCGTACGGTACTGAGCTGTGGTAGGCGCGGATGTTTCGTCCTCAGAAACGGTCTGCACGGAAATATTATACGCTCTACCTATAACCGGAAATACGGGCGATATAAAAGCACAATAGTAATACAAGCAGTAAAGCATATTTTTTTTGTTTTCGTAAGCGATAATAATTTTATATATTTATTATGATTAATATTTGATTATTATGATTTAATATATACACATCTTTTTTTTTTAAATCTTTGTGAATTGTGAATTAATGCTTCGCTTATAATGATTTTAAAATTAAATAAGTATAAAGTGTACATGTGTGTGTGTACGTGTTCAAAATTTTATAAAATTTAATGAATTATTGAATGATTTGCTCAAGGAACCATCAACTTTAATTAAAATATTTAATTAATGCATTGTCATTTCATACAAATAAATTTAAGATTTTTGAAAGTAGATATGCGAAAGTTTACAGTATCCACTTGTTGTAAACATTGTTGTAAAAGTTTAATAGTTTCACTTCGAATTTTTATACCGCAATTTTTTTTTATTGCATAACTTTACTGCTTTCTAAGAAACGCCGTAGATACCAGTTGTGATAACAAAATTCCGTTGCACTTGTATAATCAGGAGAATGAAATACCTGTACGTACGAGGAAAATAAAACTTCTGGTACACAACTTAATTAGGACGGAATAAACGCTATCTTTTGTAATTGTTCGTTTCATCTACGCGAGTACATTACGATCTCTAAAGTAGGAAAAAGTCTTTAAGGTCTGTTTGTGTTTTTGGAGAAAAATAAATGTTGATACATTTGTGCACAAAATCTACTCGCGTCTTCCAATTCATGAACCGTTCTCTTTACAGCAGATACTTTCTCCGTAATTCTACTTGAAATGGTTCCGCTTCGTATATCTAGAAAAAAGGGAGCGATGAGATCGGTTTGATTTCAACGCGTATGTGGAAATATCTCGCGGTATGCACATATCATTTGCAATGCGAGGCACAGTTCCTGTCTGTTCAGAATCGATTTCTCACGGTGTAATGCAGTGTACCACGAAATGCGATTACGCAACGTAGTCCGGTTTATCCGCGGCGCATTCGATAATGTTCCGTAATGTGCGCGTGTAATTACACGATGGTGGACAGCTGACCTGGAATGAGTCCTTTGAAAGCAGCCTGTGCAGGACCAGGTGGTTCGCCTTCCTTCTCTACATAGAGAATGGATTCTATGGCGTCTGGCGGGTCTATACTAACTTTGTAGTGCGTATATATTCCGGCAGGATAAGGCGGCTGCCATAATACCAACAGCGTCGTTTCATTCCTGAACCAGACGATGAACTTTCCCGGAGTATTCGGTTCTATAAATGTTCCAATGCTAGAGACGTTTATCGATTTACGAGTATTTATAATTCTCGAGGTATATACTTGTCGTAAAGTTCCTGCTGGTGTAGGCGACGCTCTCTTTCGCCTCCAGCACGGTGAACAGTTGAAGTGAATACGTGGCACCAGGTGTGAGATCTCGCAGCGTGTAGGGCACCGAGTCGACCGGAATGATGCTGGTCCTGGGATTTCCGATCTCGCTGAAGCTCTGCGTCCGCAACCGGAAACCGGAATAATTCCCCTGGGCCGGCGGCGACCAATATACGATCGCGGTTTTCCCATTTCGCACCGACACCGTCAAGTTTGAAGGAGGATCGGGCGCTGATAAATAATACAATATTAATCGATCTTCCGAGAAGAATCTTTACCGCGCAATCATTTTTGCTTGTTTAATTACTTGTTCGACTGCATTAGAAATTACAATCGTTCAGACCGTTAATTTAAAAGCCCACTAAAGTCATTAAGATAAAATGCAAAGTAAAGCGTTCAGAACGATAAGAAATTACGGAATTCAGATAGTTGAGAAAACAACAACGAAACAAAAACAACGTTGTGCATAACGTTTCAAAGCGCTGTTTAAACGTTAAATTAACAAGTGCGCTATAAAAAATGATCATCGCCGTACAAGATCGTATTACGTACGCGTTGTGATCGACACGGTCCATGTCAGCCAATCATGAAGAGTGCTGTTGCTGTAATACAACCAGTATTCGTATCTCGTCCCGGGGCAAACCGTCCCTGAACTTTATGACATCACCGATGTCGATGGCAGCTATAGTAGTGTTTGGCGGCGGAGAGCCGACGGGCGGGTTGTAATCCAAACGGTACCAGGAATCATCCTGGCTCAGGTTGCCCGGTATCTCGATCGCGAGATCGGCCGAATGTGTAACCTGAGATAAAACACACAAGAACCGACATTAATTCGCACGCGCTGATCATCACTCATGCAATTAATTCCGTGTTTAATACACACAGAAACATAATAAGTACGATATATTTTATGCTGAACTTTGTCGTTGCTAACAGATAGCACAAAAAAACTTATTATAAATATTTATCTTTTGCTGAAAATAATTTTATTGAATACGCAAATTATTATAATATTAAATTAATATTTATTCTACTATTCTCTTCTACTACGACGGGAAAATTCTCTTTCCCAACGAATGCTTTATTAATTCGTAAACTTTGTTAATATGCATACATGTAAATTTATCTATTACATTGAATTTAAACAATACAGGGTTTTTATGGGAAGGTGTGATTTTATGAGAATAAGTATACGTTTAACAGTTTCAGATAACACAATGCTGAATTTTAGATTCATCTCGGCGCTTGTGTACTTTTACACAGTCTCGCCGCGTAATATCGTAACCGTGATCTGTGAGTCGGGCTAGTGTTAGTAAGGATCCGTTATAAATCAGCCTCGTATCTTGAATTTCAAGGTTCTGGCGTCCTTAAAGAAGAATGATCAAGAGAATGGAGAAAATCAAGCATGCAAATCATCGCATATTGATTTTTTTCTATTTCTATTTCCGTCGATATAAAAATAATATTGATATCGATAAAAACATGTAGCATATTATTTGCTTTCTTAATGTATCTTTGCGCGATATTTTAATTCTCACAATATGAAACGACTTTAAATTTGTAGACAGCGTTTAACGAAGCTTACAGACTTGTTTAATTTGATTTTTTTATCGCGAAAAATTTGCTGTAGCTTGCAAATCACTCACTTTCGTATGCTAAACGTTTCATTATTCTAATTACATATCTACAGCAGGTGTAATGTTTTCAAGTTTATTATATAACTATATTTGCATAGGAGTTTTTAAAATTGGAGAAGAATCGATTTAAACTGAGTGTTTGTGGGACAATAATAGCGGCTATGAGAAACAAACAATACGTGTTGATTTCAAATGGATGTATTTGCAGTTACTCGTAGCTATGAATTCTGATGAACGAGCAGCGCATATACACGTCATGTTGAAAGCAGCGCGTTCCCAGACGTGGGAAAGATGCGTGCCGCAAATCCATAAAGCTGTCGCTGACGTGTAATGTGGAATTCACCGCGTCTGATGTCCGATATATAGACGTCCGACATCTAACAGGAAATTTGATTCGCAAAGAAAAAAAAAAATGACTGAATAGAGTTCCTAAAACATAAATTATTTTCTATCGAATATTGAATGTCCGTACGCCAAACATCAAAAGCGCACTGTGTATCTTTCATAACAAATATATTAGATATCGATGTCGTGCTAGTATTACATGTCCGAAAATTAATATTACGAGATTGCATGTATACAAATACACAATTTCTCCTGCAATTTCAACACACAAATCTCCAATAATAATAATATCCCAACTAAATATCCAAATATTTATCACTGGAGGAGCAATTGGTCGAGCACAACATTTAATTATAATAATCGATATTTTAGCAAAATAATTTTGAATACATAAAGCACAACCGGAAAATTATAAGTAGTTATTTAGCTTCCCGATAAATTGTTGTAATTTGATATACATTTAATTTATCGGTTACTCAATTACTTTGCGAGAATTTAATGACAACGTCGGCATTAGCCGACTACTGCGATAATAATACGATTAATCTCTGTGTTCATTCGGGCTTGAAGCGACGAAATCGTCTTCCCTACACCCACTCTTCCGTGACAGTGAGGTGCATATTGATCCTTGCTCTATCTTCTTCTATCACAACGTCTCATTTCCCGCCTTCTCTGCGCATCTCTCGATTCCATCCTCGCACAGGGCAACCTATCCCTTGTGCCTGCCGTTGCATAGACGACGACAAAAACTCTTAATTGTACAAAGAAGGGTTGAATAGCTTGCCGGCGGGCTTAGTCGAGAGGATTGTTATATCCATGGCTGGTGTGAGACACGCGAGAATTTCGTTTGCGATAGGTGCTTCACTGGGGTTCGCTGGGCTGAGAGAAGGGTGCAAATTCAACTGAAATTATTTGTCGCGCGCGTACTAGCGGTGATTAAACGCGGTATGTCGACAGCAGATGCAAAATGCGCGGTACTTCCGAAAAACACAATGCACAATTCCAGTAATTGAACATTCAGTTGTCATTCTGGCAAAAAAATGGTACTTGAATTTTTCACGAAATTACGTTCCGTATTTAACAAAAAAAAAAAAAAAAAAAAAAAAATACATTAAAACCAGCCCAATCGGTATTTCGTTCGAAATTGCCACTTGAAAAGAAGAATACCGGAACTATTTATTTTAATTTATTTGAGATTCTTGTGAGAATCGCGCGGCAAATACATCAGCCATGATGGCCTGTGTAACTTGCGTCATTGGAGAGAAAAAAGGAAATTGCAGATGTAACTTGGGCTCCCATGTGCCACGCGATTTTGCATTACGAAGTGTGTCACGCCTAGCACAACTTATCTCATAGTCGTTTGTGAAACCTTGAAAAAAAAAAACATCTGATGAGTCGGCGCAGCTGTATCTACGCACAGTTTACGCTAAATCACCGTGAGAGAAAACTGCATTCTATCATTATTAGACTGATCGCGTACGTTGGCTTGTTCTAAAAATATAACAAAGCGCCTCTTTGCCGTTGACTGCCACGTGCGTTACCGGATCGCGGAATGTGCGAATATTTTCCGCAGTACGTTGCCTTTGCTGAAGTTGTCAACTTTATTTACGTTCAATTTTAATGCAGTTTCTCATCATTTCTATCATGTTTCAGTGGAAAGCACGGTCTTTATTTCACCAGTATAATGATTAACTTATCGCTCCCAGTTGAAATTTTGAAAGTAGAAAGTAGATTCTAGAGTTATTCTAGATTCTGAGTTTATACCGTGGAATCTACGTGGCTCACGATCGCATGCTTACAGACTAGCGCGCGTCACTTCCGGTTGACCGTTGTCACGTGCTTTGCGCGGTTCCGACCTCGAGCGGTTTTCGTTCGTGTCCAACGCGTGTGAAAGACCTAGGTAGGTAGAGGTAGAAATGACGTGTCCATGACATTCAATCAGTGACGCGTCCGTGACACTTTGTGACTGATGCCGATCGTCGCCCTTTCTTATCCGTTTCGGTATCCTGTTAGCAAAGCATTAAGTAGGCTTCGTTTTTTTTTTTAGTACGTTTCAAGCAGTATTCACAATCCATTCCATAGATGCTAGCAAGATTATGACTTTCTTTGAAATTAAATAATATTTTTATTAATATTTAAATTAATTAAATTATATTAATATTTTTCTATCTTTAGGACAACTAAAAAAATTTTTTTTTAAACATTATTCTGAAAATATAGTTGTTATATCATTGATCATGAGAGCGCTCAAGCTAATGTCAATTTTAATAAAATAAGTACAGCAAGAGTGTGGCTTCTCCGAGCACGATATTCTCCATCCGGTGCATTACGTTGACATCGAAATTGACAGACTGCACATCCTCTATTACATCCGTATTATTCAATATAATTCAGAATTATACTTTTGTCGGTATTTCCTTTTCTTAAAAATTTTCTGTTAAAAAACTGTGAAAAATTATTCGCACACACAAAGATGTGAAATAAAAAAGGAAGTATCTTGTGTATATTTTCCCGGCTTTGTTTTGTGTCGTCTCGAGCTAAATGAATTCTAGCTGCGAATTTCATCAGTTTGCACGTTGGCTACGAACGACAAGCAGGTTGGTCGACGTAGCGCGACAGGAATCCAATATTCCCTTTGTCTCGGCAGGTCTCAGAGCTGAGACTAAAGGCACAAATGCGTAGAACGCATTCTGGTTCACGAACAGGTCCAGAATTTCTAAATAAGCGAGACCCGTGATCGTGCATAGAATATGAGAAACGAGTGGACGAGCTGGAAAAAAAATTCAGTCTCAAACTCGTAAACAAACAGTAAGAACATAATAAACGCCGAGGCTGTCCTTAGAGAAGCGGCGGCATAAAAATGAGGACGTCGTATGAACTGCAACAGTATAACGGCAGCAACACGGCGAGCATTTCGAGCGTGTGATGTTAATTAGTTTTTTCTCTTTTGAAATGAATTTTGTATGAGTACGAGCTATTCTTAGCATTGTATAAAATGTACATATTTGTTTGCCAATTTTGTAGAATACGTAAATGCGTGTGCTGTTATTGTCTTGATGCTTCTATATGTCTCTATTACAGTCAATTATAAAATTAAGTTAGTGCATTATGAATCCATTGCTAAATTCATAGCGCAGAATGAAGGAAAGACGCTTGTTTTGAATTTGTACTCGGTAGAATTCAAATAGCTCGCGTGCTTCACCATATCTTTACCCCTTGCAAAACCTGTTGCGCGACCTTGTTCGATTCGTGCATGAAGGCCTCCTTTTCCCCCTCCCCCCTTTCAATTGCTACTTAATATCCTCATATATAATTTATATATTTTATTCACAATTTTCTCATTTACCTTTCCGTTATTTTAATCGCGATAATATTTCTTTCACAAAAATTCTATACATCAGTAATATATTAGCTTGGCAAAAATGCTGCAATATTATTTGCGTGTGATGTTAAGTAGTTTTTTCTTCTTTGAAATGTATTTTGCTTAAGTACGAGCTATTCTTAGCATTGTATAAAATGTACATATTTTTTGCTAATTTTGTAGAACATGTAAATATGTGTGCTATTATTGTGTTGATGCTTCTATATGTCTCTATTATAGTCAATTACAAAATTAAGTTAGTGTATTATAAACCGTGCATGATTAATTAAATAGAAGTTCTTTAATTTGCTAATAGCTGAATTAAATAAAAAGCAAGATAAAGCGCGATGGTAATAACAAAACGCACGTTATTCTTAGGTAGTCGCACTGATGTCACGTACATACAATCTCGCGTGACGGTTTTTCACTGTTATCGATCGTCATTTGCCAAGCAGAA